TAAAGCGCAAGAGATACCAATAGATTCTCCCTTTCATGGGGGTACAATTGGGGGAAAAGCTCCCAAAAATATTTATTTTGTGATTAATTTGAGCTTGCACTGTGTACGATTTCATCACCTGGAGCACAGCATCGACTCCCGATGAAGCCCTTGGCCCCCCACGTCACAGTCCTCACTCCAAGCGCGACCCACGGACACGTCCGACCGGGGGGACGCGCGCCCGGCCAACAACCCCGAGGCCTGCGCTATGAAGCAGCTGTAGGCGACCCACAAATGATAGCCCAATGATGTGGACATATATAGCAGCCAAATACTTTAAACGCGTGATGTTGATCTGAACGTGGAGGGAAAAAATCGGAAGACCCGGAGAAAAATCTACGCAACCACGGGGAGAGACATGCAAATTCAATATATACAGGTGTCAGGGTCTGGATCGAACCCACGACCTCCTGCATACCAGGCGAGGTAGTTAACGTCTCACCACCGTGGCGCCCCAACGAATGTGTTGCAGGAGACGGTGCAGCGTCATCTGAATCGTGTTCTTTTTATTCCGCAGGATTTTCACCACGTGGGGGGGGTGGCCGAGGCGGTAGCTTTGGGGGCCGAGGAGGATTCGGAGGGGGGGGAGGGGGGTTCCGGGGCCGCGGAGGCGGTAGTGGTGGATTTCGCGGTGGCGGCGGTGGGTTCAGAGGTGAGAACTCGGTTCACATCCTTCACTGTTTCCACGCACATCCACTCCTTCGATTCCCTTCTAGGTCAGCGGCTCTCCAACCTGCGGTCTGCGGACCACCAGTCAGCCAAGTGCGTGGGGAAAGTGGTCCACTCAAACCAATGCAGATGCTGATTTTTATCCAAAACACCACGACTGTGCATTGCGGTCCGTGAAAGCGCTGCGAGGTTTGACGGTAAACCCCGTGGGTACAGCACAGTTGGGAAGCACCGGTCTGCGCAGACATTCCTTTTGGGCTGTGACACCAGGAGGATGGCACTCTCCATCCTCAATGCCTCACGTTTGCACGAACGGCGTTGTTGTTAACCCTCAACCCCGTTGCGAGCTGGTGTCTGCTGGTTGTGAGCGTGTGCCGGGACACGAGTGCTGCGTTGTGAATGCGGAGTTGTGGATATTTCTAGGTGGCAGCCGCGGAGGAGGGAGGGGAACTCCACGGGGGCGAGGTGGCCGAGGCGGAGGCCGCGGGGGCTTTGGTGGAGGCAAGAACGTGACGATTGAGCCGCACAGACACGAAGGCAAGTGTTGCCGCATGGCAGCTATCTCCCCCCCCCCCCATGTGAATCGGTGGTATTTGCGAGACAAATGCCTCAAATATGACTGCAGTGGGGCTGATGGATGGTGCCGAGATCATGCATAGTCCCTGTAATGAGACAGTGCTGAATGTAGGTTGCTGAGATCCCTGTGTAGCATCACAGTCGTACATCATGGGACCTCCTTTTGCCAGTATCAAAATATGATGTTTTCCCCTTTTTCTGGCAACGAAACAGGTGTTAAGATGTTAAAACACCAAACTGAAACCTTTTACAAGGACTCATGTCTGCATTAACCACAATACTTGTTGTCAGAATGCAAACAAAAAACACGTACTCTGATAATATATGCATTATTTGAAACTGATTGTTCCACACCAGAGACAGCTTTATTTTGAGTCTAGTCTCAAAACAGTGTTAGACGTCCTCTGGTCTAACACGCCATTCGTGCAAACGTCCTTTGGTCGTTAACAATGTTACAGATTTTTTTGTGCCTTTCCCAAAACCCTTCAGTATAATTTTCTAAACATTCCGAGCAAGGATGCTCTATAAAGAAACTCATTTTAGAATCTTTCCTCATGAAGCAAATCATGTCAGTGTTATGATTTGAGGGTGTAGCGATCTTTATACGATTGTGCGCTAACGCAGCCAAAGGAGATTACACACGATTGTGCGCTGTGGGTGGATTAGTAATGCTGGCATGTTTTTGTTTAACTCGCGAATGCTGAGCATAGACTCAGAATGCCAGGCGGCCAGCAATAATTGGCACAGTTTTGTTGCGAAAGAGCGAGCTCTGTGAGGTGTGCGATGGCCGTGTCTCAACAATGTGTGCGCCACGTGTCCGCAGGTGTGTTCATTGCCAGAGGGAAGGAGGATGCGTTGGTCACACGGAACATGGTACCCGGGGAGTCTGTATACGGGGAGAAGAGGATGGCGGTGGAGGTGCGTGGTTGCTAATCATGCGGAGCACAGGCCCGATGGCCCAACATGCCAAGCAGCCGGCAACATAACGCATTTCTGAATTGAGCAACGTCATAAGAGCTTGGGGAAATGAGACGATGCGAGGGATTTCCTAAGTGGATCCGTGTGTGCGGGAAGACGCAGAAAGAGAAGCGTTGTTGCTAGGGTTAGAGAGAGGTGTTACCTTTAGTGTGGTGGTTGACTGCGGTGTTGCCCGAGATGACAGGCTGGTAGGAGTCCTCCGTATGGCTGGAGAAATTAATGGGACGAGTGTCCAGGGAAGGGGTTCGCACAGCAAATCTCAAGTACCCTTGAGCCCACTCGCGTACATACATTAGATACCCAGTGGCATTTTGGGCGCGATTAACAATTTAATTGTAACTAATAGCAATTAGAATTGCACGAGTAGCTCAGAAGGTGGCGCGAGTCAGTTTTGCAAGTGCGACACGCGGCACATTCGCCATCTGACCACTAGAGCGTCCGGTGGTTGCAATGGACATGTCGTGCGGGCCATAGGTGTGGGTGTTCAACACGCGGCCACTAGAGGTCGGGGCGCTTCTCGTTTTGCCAAGCAAAGACCAGAGCGAGGAAGGCAGCTGTGGCTGAGTGCTCGCTACCTGCCCCGGGTTCGTAGGCGTTTGGAAACGGCAACACACCCAAGTCTGCCCTGCTTATGGTCACCGATACCATTCCAATTAAAAGGAGTTTCACGGGATAAGAGGTAACTAAAGTAATTCAGATCATTATCCCACGATGTACGCACCGTACTTAGCCAACTGTGCTAATTGGAGGTGCGGAGAAGAACAACAATTCAAAAGCAGTGCTGAAGAAATTAGTTTTAAATCTAGATTAAAAATAATCCACGGTTTGTCAGTGCAAGATTGGAGCCATGTCCCCAGTGAGACCTGGTTCACAGCTCTTAAAGATCTGGTAGAAGCTGGCCTTCGGCACACCACTTGAAAACCAGTCCAAGTGAGCGTATATACCAAGTGTGCTTGGGTCACAAATAACCTCATCAGTCAAGCACTTTTGCAATGACAGAACTGTGTTTATGTACGGCGTGTTTATGTCAAGCTTAGAATGTAAAAATATGACTGCCTTTCACCGGCATTGGGAGTGGTCTCCACGGGTCCAAGCGACCAAGGGAAAGAGAATACCTTTTTCCAGATCGTTGGAGGCTTGTCGGGGCAGATCTTGGAGGTCGCTGCATGTCGGCTGTGCGCTAGCCGCTGTTGCTGGTGTGGGATCTGGCAGAGAAAGTGGTGGTGGTGGTGGTGGTTGGTGGTGATGACATCAATTGCTGTGGCCGAAATGACGTCACCATCTCACCCCCCTGCCGCCCCACTCCGCGATTCTGAGTGCAGGAGCAGGAGCAGAAGGTCGAGTACCGCGCCTGGAATCCGTTTCGCTCCAAGTTGGCAGCGGCCATCTTGGGCGGTGTTGACCAGATCCACATAAAGCCCGGGGTGAAGGTGTTGTACCTGGGCGCCGCCTCCGGCACCACTGTGTCCCACGTCTCCGACATCGTCGGGCCTGTAAGTGTTGCACTCGCGGGTTTGCGTACATGCTCGCTTGCCCACGTCTATATGTATGCGCGCGTTAATACGTACGCGAACACATGCCGTCACATACGCACGCGCTCACGTACGTACGCTCGCACGCCAACATGCTAATGGACACATGGAAAAAGCATGACAGACCCCCACGTATGTGAATGTCCTTGTTTGAACCGCGGTGAGGATGAGCGAGCGGTCGTGGTGTCGTCGTGGTGTTGTTGGCGTGGCGCCTGTAGGAAGGCTTGGTGTACGCCGTGGAGTTCTCGCACCGATCGGGCCGGGATCTCATGAACGTGGCCAAGAAGCGAACTAACATCATTCCCATAATTGAGGACGCACGCCACCCCCACAAGTACCGCATGCTAGTCGGTGAGTGACGCGGTGCTGCTACTGCCACCGCACGCAGCCTCCTTGGCTCCGCTTGTAACCAGTCGCTGCGGGTTGGTTTGATGGCGACAAGGCGGGTGGCAGCGTGGGGACACTCGCGCCTCGGCAAAAAGGGCCCTAAGTTCAATTGACTTTAATGCCTTTCTATGGGGCGTTTGTATACTCCTGTTCTGCATGGGTTTCCTCCGGGTTTTCATAGCTAAAAGAGACATGGTGTCAATGTTATTGACCTCACATACCAATGCTGAATAATTACCTGCAAATTGTTGCACTGGGATTCAACTTAGCAACATTGCCCCTAATTGTGAATTCTTAGCAGGACCCTCAAAAAAGTCTTGAGACTTGGATAAATACTCGTAATAATGAAAAACAATAGAACGTTGCTTGTGTAATTTTCTTTCTGTACGTGTAAGTGATTATGGAAGGTGGTATAGTGGGGAGCATAGGCAGTACATCTGCCAGTCATCCCACAGCACCCAGGTCTGTCCCATGACCTCCCACCAGCAGAGAGCCTTCCACAATTCACATGGCCTTGAAGTGCACCGAGCTTGGCACAAGCGCTGTGGTTGTTGTGCTTGTGTTGCGCCATGGTTACGCTGGCTCGCTGGGGTGTTGGACCGTATGTAGCCAACCGTGCTAATCGGAGGTTTGTGACACAGAATCGATGTCTACTTCTGCAGTTGGACGGTTTTTCAGGAGATTCCTGCTAAGTTTTCATGAGTTGGGGGCGGGGGGGGGGCAACGATTGTAGCTGTGTGTTTTACATATTTTTTGCACCTTCCCGATTTAGCACGGTTTGCTACGTACGACACGAAAGAAGTTCAATATGCAAACGTATTTAGTAGATGCGTTGTAATTTATTTCGTTTGGCAAATTTGGACCCTGAGGTCAGCACAGAAGGGCCCGGCTCGCCTGTGAATGACGTCGGGGGATCTTTAACGTCCGCTGTGAATGAGACGGCGTGTAGTTAATACACACCCGCAGCATTAACCAGGGCAGCTTGCCATATAACTGTGAACCTCTGAAAAAAGCGATGGCGATAGCCCCTACCTACCGCTGCACCACTCGTGGATTTTATCTTCACGAAACTTGGGGGGGGTGCTGATTGTTGCTGTCCCCCTTGGGCCTGTACTTGGCATCTGTTAAAAAACTCTTCTGGGAAAAGAAGCAATCACAAATCGGCACTCCGCTGAATGCCAACGTTCGGTGAGAGGAGGAATTCAACCCTTTTGAGAAATTACAGTGGCGAAAACCACAGGACAGCCAGATGCGCTGCCTGGCCTCGTGCTGTTCACTAAACTCGAATGCTCTCCCATCTCCCTGGCAGGAATGGTGGACGTCGTGTTTGCAGACGTCGCTCAGCCCGACCAGACCCGGATTGTTGCCATCAACGCCCATAACTTTTTGAAAAATGGAGGCCACTTTGTCATCTCCATCAAGGTAGGTGGCGGCTGTGTCTCGCACTCATATGTACCAAACTCTGCCCATGTCCCAATTGTAATGCAGCATAGTGAGCAAGTATACAGCAGCGCACTAGAAATAAAAGCCAGTGTTAATTTTCGATTTGCTCAAACAATGATTTTGCTTGCTCTAGTTAAAGCATCATGATGGTAATCATCCATGATCAGTCTGCTGCACGAAGGTCTCCCCGAACTGCTGCCAGACCTCGTGATGCTGCCCTCATGGCAGTGCACGTGTTTGAGGCAGCCCCTATTTGCGCTGTAATGGAGGTTTTGGGTTTGTAACTGGAGAAAAGGAGCCTCTGAAATGTAGACTGACATGGAGCAGAGGGTGGAGTTAGTTGTGGTGCGTATGCATATGTGTGTGTCTGCATGCGTGTGTGCACGTGTGGGGAGCGGCAGTGTAGCGGTTAACACCCTGCTCACCAAACGTAGAGATCCGAGTTCGATGTCCGCTCACGGCGAACACCACTGACCATTAACTGAACTGCTCCTCCCCTGCACCGACTCAGTACCTAATATGGTGTGTAAATATCAGCACTTGGTGAGACGAAAGCAGCCAGGCATGGTGCTGGCCATCCAACTCCTCGTGTGGCCGTACCAGCCTTCACATGTGCTCGCTGAACGCTACTTTCCCGAAAAGTCTGTTAGGCTATAACTGCAGGATCTTTGCCCTCCATGCGCCAGGCAAACTGCATCGACTCGACGGCTCAGCCGGAGGCCGTGTTCGCCCAGGAGGTGAAGAAGATGGCGCAGGAGAACATGAAGCCCCAGGAGCAGCTGACGCTGGAGCCCTATGAGAGGGACCATGCCGTGGTGGTCGGCACCTACAGGTGAGGGGTACGGGGGAGGGGGGCAGGGGGGATGGGGGTTCCAGGTGCATGGGCGGTTCACCAGGCGCTAACTCGTGAGAGCAGCAAGGAAGAGTAATTTTCGAGTGCGGGTCACCACTCGAGTGGGAGCCGGGTCACCAAAATGACAAAAGCAAAAGATGCTGTATGGTGATGGTGTCATGACTGTTAATGTGCTCTGCCCCCCCCTCCTTTCCCACAGGCCACCCCCCAAGCAGAAGTGAGGGACCTGGATGCCGTGATCATCCGATCGCTGAGCTCTCTCGGCCTCGGTTTCCTTCGGTCTCGAGACAGGAGGCTCCTCGCACAACACGCGTCGTCTTCATCTGTGTGCTTTGAGAAAATTGAAAGACGCCACCACGTTTGCACGACGTTGAGCTGCGTTGTATGTGGGTCTGTTCATAAATACGCGACACGCAAATATATCGGGAAAGAAATGTTTGCGGCTTGTGCGACTTCCCAGTTATTGCTTCAGATGTTCGCCCACAGTGGAATATGAAATCTTGACATTCAAGCCAATGAACTCGGCTTTGAAACTTGTAATCGGAACCACTTTTAAAAAAGTTTCGCAATATTGTCTCCAATTTTTTTATATTCAGGAACTTGTAATATTTTTGTGTGCGATTATCGTTACGTCCTTGCTAAATTCAGACATTTCATAGTTAAGACATCCATTAAACTCTGACCTGTACAGCCCTGAGTAATAAACAATTTATAATGAATTGCACGATGTGTTCATTATTGCAGACTTAAAATAAGGAGTAGAAATAACGCAAGTCCTTTTACCCATCCTATTGATTTTACAAATGCTTTTTACTCATTTTAGGAACAATACTTGGCGGCGTGGTGTGAGACAAGTATGTTATGGTGAGGTACCACAGTATGCAAAACAGGATTGGGTATCAATATGAATATTACAGCAAAAGTACGTAATACCCTAATATACGCCCCGGCTGTTTTACTTTTGCAATAACGTATTCAACTTATTGATACCCACTCGCGTTTTTCATACCGTGGTACCGCACTATAATGTAATCCAGATCAAATCGGCAGCATAGGTTCAACCCAAGCAAATCGGGCTGGTTTTGACAATCTGGGCAGAGTGGGCTCGAACCAATGCTGGAGAGCTGCCAGACGTGCTCGGCAAGGACCCACCCTTTAGGATATGGGTCCACGTTTGACGCAAAATTTTACGGCACAATCGGCGTTGTGGAGAATGTAAATAATAGGATATATGGCGTGCTTATTTCGTTAATCGAATAAGCGGAATTGGAAACTATGAACCCAATACATTGCACGATTTGATTCGTGAACATTCAAATATCCCAACAGCGGGGGGCAGTGGAACGCCGATGGAGGCCAGCTTGGGGCTGCTGAGATGCTTCCATGCTGGTGTCCAAGCGTGGCCACGTACGGCGTTTGAGACTTTCTGACCTCGGGGACGTCTTGATAGACGTTCGGACACCACTGATGTTATCCGTGACGAGGGACTGCTTGTGGTCTAATGCTAGGAATTGCCTCGCCATTGCTCACGACTTGTGAAAGTGGGACAAATTAGTCCATTGGGATGTCTCAATCTATGAGATACAAGGCAAGTTTATTCTCACGATAATCTGTGTATTAACTTGTATGGTCCTCCACTGGCTTAACCGTGACGTCTGTGAGCATAGACATCATAATGTTGTACTCGCATTGTTTGGGTTATTTTATGAACAATGGATATTTGTTCACACCAGGTTAATTCTGCTTGATAATTTTACTCTCGATAATCCAAAAAGTTAAAGAGTAGCGCTTTATCTGCTACTCCAGTTCATAGATACTGGGAGCGTAAGTGCATCGACAATTATAATTATTAATGTTTTTCCAGCTACGACACATTAAGGGAATACTTCGCAGCTGCAGTCGTATGTCTGCACTGCTGCATCACATCATAGGGTGTGGTAAGTGTCAATATCTGCATCTTTTTTGCTGGGGAAATTGACCGACACGGTGAGAGGCAAAATTGTTGAGGCAGGTGAAAGATAAATTCGGTTTGCCACATCCAGATTTGACCCGAACAGTTGAGTAATTTGCACCATTTTTCTGGTGGTAGATATGTTTTGTATGGAGATCTGGTGGTTGTGTGAATTCTCCACAGTTTTTTATAGACAGGGTGAAAGAGACAGCTAGGTTTGTGGAAAAGGTGGCAACTCTAAGGGTAACAGCGGTGGGTGTATGGAATGCCACAGATTTTGTACATGGGTAAATATTTATAATTGGTATCGCTCGGCCTCGCATGACGAGGCAGGAACATTTTTAAACAGCCGATTCTTTCACAGACGACGAGAACTCATAGCAGGAACTGGCTGGAGAGGGGTTGGCCACAGCGCAGCTCTCTACAGTGAGGGAAAAAAGTATTTGATCCCCTGCTGATTTTGCACGTTTACCCACTGACAAAGAAATGATCAGTTTATAATTTTAATGGTAGGTTTATTTGAACAGTGAGAGAATAACAAAAAAATCTAGAAAAACGCATGTCAAAAATGTTATGAATTGATTTGCATTTTAATGAGGGAAATAAGTATTTGACCGCTCTGCAAAACATGACTTAGTACTTGGTGGTAAAACCCTTGTTGGCAATCACAGAGGTTAGACGTTTCTTGTAGTTGGCCACCAGGTTTGCACACATCAGGAGGAATTTTGTCCCACTCCTCTTTGCAGATCTTCTCCAAGTCATTAAGGTTTCGAGGCTGACGTTTGGCAATTCGAACCTTCAGCTCCCTCCAGATTTTTCTATGGGATTAAGTTCTGGAGACTGGCTAGGCCACTCCAGGACCTTAATGTGCTTCTTCTTGAGCCACTCCTTTGTTGCCTTGGGTGTGTGTTTTGGATCATTGTCATGCTGGAATATCCATCAACGACCCATTTTCTATGCCCTGGCTGAGGGAAGGAGGTTCTGACCCAAAATTTGACGGTACATGGCCCCATCCATCGTCCCTTTGATGCGGTGAAGTTGTCCTGTCCCCTTAGAAAAATACCCCCAAAGCATGTTTCCACCTCCATGTTTGACGGTTCTTGGGGTCATAGGCAGCATTCCTCCTCCAAACACGGTGAGTTGAGTTGATGCCAAAGAGGTCCATTTTGGTCTCATCTGACCACAACACTTTCACCCAGTTGTCCTCTGAATCATTCAGATGTGCATTGGGAAACTTCAGACGGGCATGTATATGTGCTTTCTTGAGCAGGGGGACCTTGCAGGCACTGCAGGATTTCAGTCCTTCACGGCGTAGTGTGTACCAATTGTTTTCTTGGTGACTATGGTCCCAGCTGCCTTGAGATCATTGAAAGATCCTCCCGTGTAGTTCTGGGCTGATTCCTCACCGTTCTCATGATCATTGTAACTCCACGAGGTGAGATCTTGCATGGAGCCCCAGGCCGAGGGAGATTGACAGTTCTTTTGTGTTTCTTCCATTTGCGAATAATCGCACCAACTGTTGTCCCCTTCTCACCAAGCTGCTTGGCAATGGTCCTGTAGCCCATTCCAGCATTGTGTAGGTCTAAAATCTTGTCCCTGACATCCTTGGAGAGCTCTTTGGAACCAATGCTGGAGAGTTTGGAATCTGATTGCTTCTGTGGACAGGTGTCTTTTATACAGGTAACAAGCTGAGGTTAGGAGCACTCCCTTTTAGAGTGTGCTCCTAATCTCAGCTGGTTACCTGTATAAAAGACACCTGGGAGCCAGAAATCTTTCTAATTGAGAGGGGGTCAAATACTTATTTCCCTCATTAAAATGCAAATCAATTTATAACATTTTTGACATGCGTTTTTCTGGATTTTGTTGTTATTCTGTCTCTCACCGCTCATATAAACCTACCATTAAATTATAGACTGATCATTTCTTTGTCAGTGGGCAAACATACAAAATCAGCAGGGGATCAAATACTTTTTTTCCCCTCACTGTATGTGGAACTTCTTTCACACGGTGCGTAGCCAACCGTGATATAATCGGTGGCCAAGTAAATTTTCGCCTTGGACAAG